TAGCTTGATAACTACCATTGTTTTCTATTCCTTGCATTTGTTCTTTGTTTCTTTGCCCCTATTTTTTTTTCTACCTCCCTTGGTTTTAACTAATCCTTTTATATGACTTAGTTTTCCTTCCTTCCTTTCTTAGCATTTCAACTATACTCACAACATTTTCAGTCATTTTTTGGGAGTTTCCAGAATGGTTTTTAAACCATCTAGATCTGCCCTCGGACAACACTCGATTGCTTCCCATATAATGCTGTTAACTCACAGCAGGGCATCCACTAGCCCTCCATCCCACCTTTATAGCACCTGTGCCGGTCACTCACTATCTGTGCACTACAGGGCCAACTACGTTGTTGCTATGATCACTTGAAACAGGCAGTTATCTTTTAGATCAATTAAGAATCAGACAAGCAAAATATTTCACTTTTATTTATTCCTCTCCGAAGCTCTTTCATTCTTCATAGAGGTCTGAATTTCTGACCCCTACCATTTTTCTTCCCCTTGAAGAACTTAACATTTCATTTCTTATAGGGCAGGTCTGTGGACAACAAATTCCCTCAGGTTTCTTTTGGCAAGAAAGCCTTTATTTCTCCTTCACTTTTGAAGGATAATATTTGCGGATACAGAATTCTAGATTGATATGCTTTTTTTCTTCAACATGTTAAATATTTCACTTCACTCTCTTTATGCAACATTTCTGACAAGAAGGCCATGACATTCTTATCTTTGTTCCTCTGTAGAGAGGGTACTGTATTTTCCTTTGACTTCTTTCATGATTTTCTCTGTCTTTTGTCTTCTACCATTTGAAAATAACATGCCTAGTAGTGAATTTTTGGTATTTGCCATTTCTGACCTTGTCTGAACGTCCTGTATCTGTGGTTCTGTGTCTGCCATTAAGCTTAGAGACTGCTTTGCCATTATTCTTTCAAATATTTTTCCTGCTCCGGTGCCTTTTCCTTTACCTTTTAGATTTCCTATTATGCATATGCTGCATCTTATAATATTATGCCACAGATATTGGACATCCTAGTTTTTTTCTTTCTTTGTCTTTGCATTTTAGTGTAAGAAGTTTCAGCTGACCTATTTAAGCTTGGTTGTCCTTTCCTTGGTTGTGTCCACTTCACTGAATACTAATCTTCTCTGTCACAACATTTTTTATATCTTGAATTTCCTTTTGATTCTTTCTTAGAGTTTCCATCTTTCTGTTTATAGTACCCACCTGTACTTGCATGCGCTTTGCTTTTTCCATGGGCGATGGGCTAACTTGTGTCCCTCACCCCTCACATTCATATGTTGAAGCCCTAACAGGCAGTACCTTAGAATGTATTTGTAAATAGATCCCTTAAAGAGGTGATTAAGGTTACATGACATCATGGGTGGGTCCCTAACCCAGTTTCATGAGTGTTCTTTTATGTAGAGAACATGTGGACACACAAAGAGACGTTCAGAGTACAAGGACAGAGGAACAACCCTGTGAAGAGGATGGCCATGCACGTGTCAAGGAGAGAATCCCCTGAGGGAACCAGCCCTGCTGGTACCCTGATCTTGGACTCCAGCCTCCAGAACTGTGAAAAAATAAATTTCTGCTGTTTAACCCATGTGTGAGATTTTTTCATGGCATGCCTAGAAGTGAATACAAGCCCTTGCCATATTAACCATAGTTATTTTAGTTTCTCTGTCTGATAATTTCAACATCAATGTCACATCTGAGTCTGGCTCTGATGCTGGTTTTTTCTTCTCAGACTGTTTGTCCTTGTCTTTTGACATGCCCTGTAATGTTTTGTTGAAAGTAGGACATGTTTTATTAGGTAATAAGAACGAAGTAAACACACCTTTAGTGTTAGACTGTGCTTAATGTTTGCTCCAGCTGCACATGGCAGAGGCTTCAAGCACTCTAGTCTCCTTCCACCTCCACTCTGGCCTTCAGGCTTCCCTGCATAACCTTCCTCAGAGACAGTCTGTCTAGGGAAGCTGCTCATTGTGTCCAATATGGAGATGATGGAAATGACCACTTTCTGGAATGCAAGGTGACACTGCAGATCCTACAGATATTTAAAAAATAAGAAAAAGAATACTTGAACAACTTTAGGCCAGTAGATTTGGTTACTTAGATCCAATGGACAAAATTCCTGTGAAACACAGCTTACTGAAACTGCCTCATAAAGATACAGAACATTTAAATATCCCTATATCTATGCAAGGAAATTTATTTGTAATAAAAAATATTTTCACAATATAAATTCTGGGAATAAACACTTGATGAATTCTATCAAATGGCGGAGGAAGCATTACTAATCCTAAACACATGCTTTTAGAAATGCCAACATCACCATCATACCAAAAGTTCAAACAAAAAGAAAAATAAAGGTCAATGTCTCTCTAAAAATAAATGTTCAGTATTTTTAAATACTGAAAAAGGAATCTGGCAATATGTAATAAGTGATAGTTATCTGGGATCATGTGCTTCATCTCAGGGATACAAGACTGATTCCATGAGTAAACCTCAGTCACACTTCATATTCTTCATCATCATCATCATCATCATCATCATCATTCTCCTTGGAAGGGGAAGTCGACTTCCCTGAGAAACCATGCTATCTTGGTGACAGGTGGTCCCGTGAATTCGTAAATCAAGCAAGCTAAGGCTCCCACAGCAGCAGGTTTTATTCTCGCTCTTGAGGATAAGGATTTTGCCACTCTCCCTGGATTCCTTTGCTAGAGCTGCCCTGACAAAATACACAGACTGGCTTACACAACAGAAATCTATTTTCCTAGTGTTCTTGAGACTGGACGTCCAATATCAAAGTGTTGAGATGCTTGCCTTCTCCTGAGACCTCTGTTCCAGCTTGCCAGTGGCCACCCTTTCACTGTGCCCTTGCGTGGTCTTCATCTGGATGTGCGCATCCTGGTCTCTGGGTATGTTAAAATCTCTTTTTAGAAAAGCACCAGTCACACTGGATGAATGTCCCTCCCTTATGACATTATCTTAGCTTCTTTCCTCTTTGAGGTCGAGTCTCCAACCTTGTATAGTAACAGCAGGGGTTAGGGCTTCAACGTATGAATTTATGGGAACATCGTTCAGCCCTGAGATACAAACTTTCTGCTTCTTTCCCGGAAACACAAACTTTATCACTAAGTCTTTCTCCACGGGCCCGAATGTAGGTTTGAAAAGGCCTGATCGTGGTTTCCTGATGTGATTGCTGTTTTACTTACTCCTGCTTTTTTCCTTAGATTCTCTCTGCTATCTCCTAGATGATGGCTTAGGGTGCAAACTGACAAACTTTTCTTCTGCAAAGAGCCATAGAGTGAAACCTTAGGCTCTGTGGCTAGTCAGGTCTACAGTTGAACCATGAAGGCAGACAGAGATAATGCATAATTAAATGAGCATATCTGTATTCCAATAAAACTTTATTCACAAAAACAGACAGTGTATTGCTTTGACCCATAGGACATCAATCCAGTGGGGACTCTTCCTAAGGATTTTGACCATGTGAATTAATACTTCAGATAATAAAAAGTCGTGTAAATTTATCCATTTTTCTCTATATCAAGAGTTCTTATATGTTCTCTACTAGTGAGTTTTCTGCATGACAGCACAAATCACCAATTGGCTACTACCTGGAAGTCAGGAAAAATGCACTTTTTTTTAGCATTTCTTTGTTTCATCTATTAAAATTCCAACTGTACTGTATGAATGATGGAGCATCGTTCTGAACTGTCCTTATTGGTGACAGTACTCTGTGTGTTACATGCTGGAGCCCCAACCAAGGACATTATCCCACATGAACTGATTATAAGAAAAGGATCAGGAAAATATCCTGATATGGTCATTTTCCCCCATGTGTCCTCTACTTTCTAATCTCTGAGATGGGGCACTGTCTGACCTCCCGAATGTGTGTCCCCACCCATTACCTTAAGACCAGCTCTATACATTCATAAAAACTGCAACACACATCTTGAGGAGTGAACACCCACAGATGTTTGTGAACATGCCACCAGATTCCCCTCACTTTCCCACATCTTTCTCATGCTTTGGTGGAGTTTTCAGATGGTCCCAAATCTAGACTTAAGCTATTCAATTTGCAACTATAGTTTGAATTAAAATAACCAGCTTTCTTCTCTTTAGATGACCTCACATCACCCACCAACACCGGCTGTCCTTTGGGATCCCTTTCCAGCCATAGCTTCATCTTACTTGCAAATCAGCTGGTGGGTTATAACCCTCATGTCAGCTGACTGGTGCCATTTATTTGACATGTCAGGGTTCATGGTACTCTGGAATGCATCCACTGTCCTTCACAGAAAAAACACTGCAGAAGGAAAGGCTTATCAAGCCCCCATCGGTTTAGAGTTTCAGTGTTCTTCCAGAATTTGCAAAGGCTTATGCTGTCATGATATGTCCTTACTACCCACCTGTGTTTTTCCATAAATAATGCACTCATGAATAATGAGTGATCAGTGAGGTAAAATAGCCAAGTCATACTTGGGAGGGCGACTTCCTTGCTATATATCTAAGGAAAGATTCTCCTACTTGTAATGACCTCCCACTTCTATCAAACTCCAGGTGTGTCAGTTTTTAACTGGGTGAATGCTTCAGGCACTATTTAAACCAAGAGTGATTTCATAGCTGACCCACCCTCTTCTGAGGGGTACAGTCAAGTGCCAGTAGAGAAGAGGACTCTTCCAACATCTCCTCCTACCACTCTGAGAACAGGAAGTGAGGGATAAGCAGTCCAGTGACTCATCTTATTTCTCTAACATTTGAGCATCATTCAAGGGAATATAGGTTTCTAATGACCCACAGGTAAGTCCCCTGAAGTTCTAATGCTGAAACTCCTTCGGTCTACTGACATTTATAGTAAAAAAAATACTTAATTACATCTTTGCTATGATCTCTCATTCAATTAAGTACTTGAAGGAAGGAAATTGCTTATTTTCTCTGACTAAGGAAACTGAAAGCTAAGAACACTGAGAGGGAGGAGTCTCAAAATTGTTTTGCAACTTTTCTCCGGAGGACAGTGTGGTGTGGAGGAAGCAGCACTAGTCAAGTTTTGAGTGACTCTCATCAGTGCCATCTGTACTTGTTATCTTTCAAAATACTTCTTTTTCCTGTGCCCTTCAGGAGATTATAACATCCTGCTGTTCAGTCTCGGAGGACTTTGCTGAGTGTTCTTCCTCCATAAGCAGTGATTCCAGCATCTCTGACCTCAAGATCCGGACTTGGTGGAGAACTTCAGCAAGGTGAGGCCTGTGGGCTTTCTGTAGATAGCTGTGGGCACCTGCTGGCTGAACACAAAACAACTAGGGGGGGTTCGGTTATGAAGAATTGGGGGGCAGGAGCTGGTATCAACTCTAGTCAGAGACGAGAAAATATTAGTAGTTTGATTCTAAATCCTTTACTACTTAGGCAAACAACAGACATCCTTATTACAGCACATCTGACACCTGAACAAAGGGAGATGAATTCTGAGTACAGAAGATGTAAAAATTTACTCCCCAGGTGATTATGAGTGATAGTTCAAAAAAAGGGTTTGGTTTCCTTTCTCTAAATGGTGCACTGGAAATTCTTGGTGGCCATAGTGGAGTTCTGGGCAGAAGTCAAGTTAGGAGCATGAGGAAGGTATCAGAATATAATATTAAGTTAAAAAAAAACACACATCTGGATTTAAAGCTGCATTGTATGGTATTATCATGATTTTAGAAAACACGCATACATGCACACATACCCGCAGAGCAGAAAAACTTTCACTTCCCCAGGCAGAGCTACACAAAAATATGGCCTCTTCGCCTCTCTTCAGACAGTTTAATTTTTATATTATACTCTCGTCTACACTGCCAAAGCTGTTCCTTCAGTTCTTTTTAGTATTACTGTCTGCCTTCCTGAATATTGCTGATTTTTTTTTTTTCTAGTGGCAAAGTACAGGGGGGAGGCAGGAAGCCAACTACAAACAGACTTTCAGAATAATTGAGTGACTTTCTGTAGGGCCTGTTATAATAACACTTCATATGTGCTTGATTAGAGTGAAAGATTTTTAATGCTGATTTCAGAATTTTTTGTATGTTAAACCTTGTTAATTATGTTTATTAATAATGTTAGTCCTTTTCCAAAATCTCTACTCATTTTTTTTACCATGTTTATTTAGGAATTAAGAGACAAGCTGAAATCTCCTACCACAAAAATTGTGAGGTTTTTGCTCTATAGTTCTCTCAAATTTATATTTACAATAATATAATGTATATCATGTATGTAATTACGTACATACGTACACACATATATGTAAAATGTGTGTGGTTGTGTGAAGAGGACTACACTACACAATACTATGAATATGATTTTTATAATATGTAAATCACGTTATAAAATATGACACATAATATTTATATCAGTATAAAGAACTATAGAGTAACTATAATAGATATTTGCCATTAGCAGGTAAATACATAATCACAACTGTTTTGTTTCCCGAGAAGGTCAAAGGTCAGCCTCTGTCATTGTGTTGAATTCTGGTGATGCTTTTTATCTTCAGGTCTGTTTACAGCGATGCTAGTATAGATAAACCGGTTTTCTTTTAGTTACTCTTTGTATGGTAAAATATTTTTCTTTTATTTTCCCACCTTTAAATGATTTCTGTTAACAATATATTGGCAGATTTCAAGCTTTTTTGCAAAAAAGATTGTAAGCTTTTTTCCCATAAATGCAATTTGACCAAACTTGTCACTTATCTGGTTAGGCCATTTATGTATGTGCTGATGATCAGCATATATGATTTTGCTTGTTATCCTCAATTTCACTTATGACACTTCTATATGCTCCTTTCTTGTACTTCTGTTTTTGCTTGCTCCTTTATCGTTCCCTTGAAGACACTTTTTTTGGTCCTTCAGTGAACTGCCGTATTTTCCTCCCTCCCTCCACCATGTTGATGTGCTCCCTGTCTCTCTTGTCTTCACTCAGCGCTGTATTTACGTGGAAGACATAGGCACAGTGGACCAAGTTAGGTTCCTACTCTTATTTACCTTTGGGCTTGTGGTGTTTCTTGGCTTCATATTGAATATTTCCTCCAATAGATGCTTCCATATAGGGCTTTGTCTTACAAACTATCAATGCTTTGAATATCAGACAGTAGTTTCTGAGGCCCTCACATTCATTTTTATTTTTTTTATTTTTATTTATTTATGATAGTCACACTCTCTCATAGAGAGAGAGAGAGAGAGAGAGAGAGGCAGAGACACAGGCAGAGGGAGAAGCAGGCTCCATGCACTGGGAGCCCGACGTGGGATTCGATCCCGGGTCTCCAGGATCGTGCCCTGGGCCAAAGGCAGGCGCCAAACCGCTGCGCCACCCAGGGATCCCCAGGCCCTCACATTCAAATATCATTTGGGCTAGCTTTAAATTCTATGCTCAGAATTATTTGGCCCTGAAGATGGTTAGACAGGACCTCTTCTGATATCCCTGGGGCTACATGTTTTGAAATTCAGAATTGGGGCCTTTTAAAAAGGCTATTAAATACACATATTTTAAAGACCATAATAATATTGCACACAATAGTGGGATCCGGATCATTACTCTAAAATCAAACACACTAATATTTTAGTAATAAAGCATATGAATGTTCACATGTAAGTGGAATGAAGAAAGATTATGGATCGCCTCCTGTCACTTTATGCTGGTTTTATTTTGCAAATAAATTATGCTGTCACACACACACACAAAACACAAAAATTTCATTTTAAAAATTATTTGATTTTGAAATATGGCATTTGGATGAATATTATATGAAAATCACCCTATTTTCCTGTGATGGGCAGCTTTACTGTTAAACATCAGTTTCAATCTGATCCTTGAATTCTTGCAGGTGATCTACTCTTTATTTCTGGAAGCTTTCAGAGTTTTTACTTTGTTTTTAATAATCTTCAATTCCTCTATATCTTGAGGATTTACCCTTCACTCTATGGGCCTCATCAATCTGGGAATGCTCACATTCTCTCAAGAGGAAATCTGTGTTGCATTGTTGTTTTTTTTTTACTAAATATTTCTTTTATTAAACCGTTACTAAAGCCTATCAGAAACAAATTTTAAAATATATTACCAAAAAATCTTTAAAAAAAATTAAAAAAAAAATTTTTTTTTTAAATTTCCCCTTCCCTTCTCCTTGTTCATTTCCCAGAGTTACGAATCTCTCCTGTTCTGTCTCCCTCTCTGATATTTCCCACTCAATTTCTCTCCTTTCCCCTATAATCCCTTTCACTATTTCTTATATTCCCCATATGAATGAGACCATATAATGATTGTCCTTCTCCGACTGGCTTACTTCACTCAGCATAATACCCTCCAGTTCCATCCACGTCAAAGCAAATGGTGGGTGTTCATCCTTTCTGATGGCTGAGGAATATTCCATTGTATACATAGACCACATCTTCTTATCCATTCATCTGTCAAAGGACAGCCCTGGGAATTTGAACATGCCAATTATACAAAAGGTTCACAAACACATGGTCCCTAAGTGAAAAGAACTGATGAATTTAAACAGAAAATTAGAATCTCTCCCATGTACTGAGTGCCATCGAGGAAGTACATAAGGTGATAAAGAGGTCCAGGGGAGTGACACCCAGTCCAAAATGGGAATTCTGGAGGCTTTCAGAAGACAAGAACCTCAGTGGAGTTGTGAAGGCTATAAGGAGGTAGGCAGAGGAAGGAAAGTGACTGGCACTTTAGGCAGCAGGGAGTGAATTAGCGAAGGCATGAAACATTGAAAGGCAAGACGTGGTGTATATTTCTGGAGCATAAGACATACGAATGCAAAAGTTACTTACGGATGAAAAAAGATGCAAAGTATCCAAGACTTTCCAACCTAGGCTAAAGAGCAAGAGATTTTTCAAATACAAATGGAGAGGGATCCCTGGGTGGCGCAGCGGTTTGGCGCCTGCTTTGGCCCAGGGCGCGATCCTGGGGACCCGGGATCGAGTCCCATGTCGGGCTCCTGGTGCATGGAGCCTGCTTCTCCCTCTGCCTGTGTCTCTGCCTCTCTCTCTCTCTGTGACTATCATAAAATTAAAATAAAAAAAAATTCAAATACAAATGGAGAACTATTGTGAGGTGTCAAGTGGGATAAAATTGTGGCTGCATAGAGGGGTATCTGGCTCTCCAAAAACAACTGATAAGAGGAATTCAGCCGAGAAGGGTAAAATCAAGCAACTATTGAAATGATTCCAGCCAATAAATGCTGGGCTCTTGCTCCAGCAAGAAAGTAGAACTCCAGCAAAAGGACTACTAAATAGTCCCGGCCAACCAGAGCTGTGATTCTGCAGGAGAGAGCAGATAGACGTCCCACGGGAGGTCGAGGGGCCAGAGGCCTCGAGAACATGGCCTGAGCCCCAGGAAGAGAGGATGCATGATGGGCTGACTCGGGAAGAGCCAGCTATGCGGGGCCGAGGACCCGGCGTGGTGGGAGGACAGTCATGGGGGGTGAGAGGCTGCAGCCCACTCTGCATGCGGCCCCTTCAGCCAGAGTGAGTGGCTCAGTCAGGAGCCAGCGGGTGGGCATCCAGGGAGAGACGCAGCCCCAATGCGGGATGGGGGTGGGAGCGGGTACTCCGATGCCCTGTAGCCCACACGCCACGCAGGGGGACAACTGCCTCCTTCCACACCTCCTGCCGCCACACCCACTGCAACCCAACTCAACTGTCATTATTAAAAGGAGAGAATTTCGTAGAAGTCCCAAATATAGCTCAACCCATATATATGAGTCCCAATATAGTTCTCAACCCATTTTCCACAGTGACACACCTGGAAATTCAGTTCTTCTTTGTCACACATACTCAAGGATGACAGCTTGACATGGGCCACTCACTGACGTAGACACAACCAGGCTTTTGCATCGTGTGGATGAAAGTCTAACGCCCTGCGGTATTTTTCTCTCCCAGGTTCAGCCACACCTGGAGATGGAGAGTGAGTACAAGAAGATTATTCTGCTGAAAGGACTGGAGCCCAGCAACGACTACCAGTTTAGCATAATCAAGTCCCTACTGGCCCGCGATTTGGGACTGACTGCAAACATGCAAAAAGAATATAACAAGGTCAAGATTGCCGACCTGATGGAAAAGAAGTTCCCAGGGGTTGCCTGCGTGAACAAGCTAATAGACCTGTTCAAGGAAATGCAAGAATGTGAAGACATTGTTATAAATCTTCGAAATGGAAAGAGAAAAGGTAATGGACAGGAGCCTTCACTGTTGGGTGTGCCCCCCCTGCGTCCAGCAGAGCCCTGGTGTCGGCAGAGCTGGGAGAGGTGTTTTCCAGTTTCTGACCTGGTGGCCGAGATGAGGTAGCCCTTCAGATGCCATGAGTTGACAGCCAAGACAATTCCTTTCCTACAAAGAGGCCCACTGTATTATACAGGGTGTTTTTGAGGAGGTACAGGTAAAGAAAAAAGCAGAAAGGGTTGACAAGAAAGATATGGAGGCTTCTACATATTAGAAAGGTTGGAGAGGGATAAAATAAAATTAGAAAAATTCATGAGATTTAAGAATACTTCTATCAGTTCATGCCGTGTTCTATTACAATATTTAATCCATCGCTACTATATTCTCTAGCAACAAACATGAGACAGGACTTAGCGAGTAACCTACCTCCTGGGGATGTGAAGAATTTGCCTCTTCCAAAAATCACTGGACACTAAAAACATGGTGTAAAAAGTCAAGTCCAATGTCACCAGTTTGTCTCATCACCAATGAGATCACATTTCTTTTCTCTGGTTTCTATAATTCAAACAGACCTTGCATAGGAACTAACCCACGATCAGCATCGTGAAAACTGCAGTTTCTTAAAAAGAACATAGAGGCTAAGTGGGTTGGAAAAGGATTTGATGGAGGTACCTGGGAGTGCAGAGGATGGAGAGGCGTGCTTGTGCCCATGGGGAAGCAAGGAAGCCAATTGGCAGTGCGGGTCAGCACCTGTAGCCGGGGCGGGTGGGCTGATGCAGGAGGGGAGGACACCAGCACTCCCAGACCCACAAGCAGAGCTGAGAGGACATAGCACTGCAAGTCCTACAGCTGCCCTAGACCAGCTCCCTTGGAATTATCATGCTGTGTTGTTTTTTTTGTTTTTTTTTTTTTTTTTTTTTTTTTTTTTTTTTTTTTTTTTTTTTTACTGCTTCAGTTATGAGGCAAAGCAGAGGAAAAGAAACAATACCTATGAAGAAAATAAAGCCGGGTGCATCTAGCACTGAGGAATCCACATCTACCGCAGACGGGGCTTCAGGATCAGTCCATGATACACCTGAGTCCAAGGTAGGATGGCAAAGTCCTGCCCAGGAAGCTTCTCCTATGGCTCTTCCACCTATTACCTTTTTTTTTTTAAATTTATTTTATTCATGATAGACAGAGAGAGAGAGAGAGAGAGGCAGGCTCCATGCCGGGAGCCTGAGCGGGACTCAATCCCGGAACTCCAGGATTGTGCCCTGGGCCAAAGGCAGGCACTAAACCGCTGAGCCACCCAGGGATCCCCTATTACCTTCCTATGAACACTGAGCTCTTTATTCATTTATCAACCTGCAAATAGAAGAAGAATCAAGAAAAAGGACTTCCAGGGGCAGAATGAAAATGAGATGCAAAGGGACACCTGGGTGGCTCAGTGGTTGAGTGTCTACTCAGGGCGTGATCCCGGAATCCTGGGATAGAGTCCCACATCGGGGCGGGGGGAAGCCTGCTTCTCCCTCTGCCTGTGTCTCTGCCTCTCTCTGTGTCTTTTATGAATAAACAGATAAAATCTTAAAAAAAAAGACAAGAAAATGAGGTTTAGAGTCAGCATCTTGTAGCTCCTGATCACCCATTAGGTCTCAGAATCATGTGCACCTGACCTTGCATGTATGACTCCCTGCGAAGGAGATGTGGAGTCGTTACCCCTCGTTAGCTGTGGACAAAATTGGAAGTCGCACGAGGAGAACCGCTCGCCAAAACCCACTCTGAGACACAAAATTCAAACCTAGATTTTCTAAGTCCCAATACAGCATCCTCGCCACCTGGGGAGAGGAAGGTCCCAGCTCTTGTGTGAACCAATCATTTGTGTGGGCTGCCGGCCTTCCCATCATCTGTTGAGAGGATAGACTCCCCGTAGCTCCAGCATTTCAGGAGCACAGAAATTTTAGTACAATTAGACTCGAGTAATAGGAAGTCGATATGTTCAGTAGTAATGATGTGTTTAATCTAATATTGAAAACGATTAACCAGAAGTGTGTGTGTGGGGGGGGGTTAACTTCAGAAACAGAAAAGCAAAACCACACCAAAAGGTGGAAAGAAGAATGTGCAGCCAACCCAGCAACAGAGTCAGCTTCCAGAACCTTCTGCAACAAGTACCCAGTCAGCTGGGAGCTCCCTTCAGGGTCCTCAGCAGCCTCCAGCAACCCCATGCAGCAGTGGCTCCACCAAGGTATGGTCCGCCCCCCCCACCGGAACCTCTCTGCCACATGCCACAGGCGTCACCCTGATGCGAGAGGGCTCCTCAGCCATTCCGTACTCCGTATGAGTTCTCTATATAACAAAAGCGACCCACTAGTTCATCAAAGGGAAACACTGAGACTTCTGTGTTTTACAAACCCTTTGATATGAGCAAGGTAAGCGTTTTGACCTAATTCCAGATCTCATATCGTGGATTATTTCTCAAGTTCTGTCTTGTCTTGCTTGCTCTTGTCAGCCCCCATGATTCACAATCCCTCCACAGCCCTGACTCACATCTCTCCCGGGATTTCCTGATAAGAGGGAGCCTATTTGCCTTTAGGCCAGGCCCATGAGTGTGACCTTACCCAGTCATCGGAACCTCAGTCCCCGTCTCTCTGCCGCGACAATGACCTAGGTGCCCATCTCAAGACAACTCTGCTTCTGCCTTGCAGACTGGCTTGGAAGGGATACTTTCTAAGTCCCCCCCGGCCTTTACAGGTGACAGGGTCATTTCTACTCGCAGAAGAATCCTGCTGGTGCCCTGAAACCTCCTTGGAGCACAACCACCCCAGGGAGGCTCATCTGCTCCCTCAGCCACTCACTTCTCCTCTAGGGTCCGTCCACCTGCACGGGGAGCCTACAAAAGGGTGTCTGACCATTAGATCTGTGGCTCGTTCGGTGGGCAGGAAAGCTTGGCTCTGATCCGTCACTGGGTCCCCTGAAGATTTTCTCCAGGGTGTGGCTTCAAACCAGACACAGACCAGTATCACCTTGACGCCTGCTGCTCTGTCTCTCCAGAAGCAAAGAGCTCAGAACAGCCTGTTCTGGGGCCTCTGGGAGGCTCAGGGGGTTAAGCATCGGCCTGCAGCTCAGGGCATGGTGTCAAGGTCCTGGAATCAAATCCCACAAGGGGCTGCCTGCTGAGCAGGGAGTCTGCTTCTCCCTCTCCCTCTGCCCTTCCTTCTGCTCATGCTCTCTCTCTCTCTCTCTCTCCTTCTCATATAAATAAATGAAATCCTTAAAAAAAAGAAGAAGAAGAAGAAGAAGAAGAAGAAGAAGAAGAAGAAGAAGAAGAAGAAGAAGAAAAGAACATCCTGCTTCGTGAACAGGGCAGGGAGACAGGGAAATAATCTCCTGGGAAAATAATCAATTATTATTATTATTTTTCAATTATTATTTTTAAATAGTATCCAATCAAAAGGATGTTTTCAGCATCTAAATTCTGCTACTCAGAGAGAAGCTTCCAGTTTAACTGATTTTGAGAGAAGCTCCGAAGCTCTGAAGCTCCTGCCAGTGGGATTAAGTCACCACCCACGGCAGAAGTGGACAGAGAAGCTTCTTTTAGTAAAGCATCCCCATGCCACCGAGAGGGTCACACGAAGCGTCCGCAGATCAGAGCAGAAATACAACCCCCTCCACCCCGTGTGGACCATGACACCCTAATGACAGTGTTGACACTTCTGTGTGTGGACCGTTTAGTGAGCTGGACTCTTAAAACTGCTGTGCTTTGTGTGTGTGACCTCATTTCTTCTTCTTAAGACAGTTCATTATTTATCACGTGAGATGCTATTATTGCCCGTCCCATTTTAGGGATGAGAAAAGTGAGGTTTGGAGAGCTTAACAGTTCTGCAAAGGTCACCCAGACGGTGGGAGTCAGAGGTCCACAGGTGGGCGCTTACTGGGCACGTTCTGGTCCATGGTAGGGGTGTGATGTTACAGTATTATTTTTTCGACTTTATTTTTTTAAGATGGACAGGGTCACGTTCAGGCTTTGTTTGCACAGCATCAGCTCTGAATGCCTTCTTATTATTTTTAAAGATTTTGTTTATTTATTTGAGAGAGACAGAGGGAGGAAGCACAAGTAGGGGGAGCAGCAGAGAGAGAGTGAGAAGGATAAGCAGGCGCCCAACCACTGAGCCACCCGGGCGCCCCTGAGCTCCTCATAATGAGGAATGGGGTGTGTGGGGTGGTCTGTGAGCGCTCTCATCAGGAAGCTGCATGCCTGGTGCTTCCAGAAGCTCCTTCATCTACAGCGTTATCAACAATTGACCTTTGTGAATTAGGCAAACCGATCCCGAGAGGGATAGATCAGAGGGAGATGTGTTGGGTGTGCACTGGGACGAATGGGCTTTCATTAGGAAAAGTAAAAGCAGTCAAGCTAAATGATTTTACAGACACTTCCTACCGTTGCTTAAGCAATTATGAAAATCCAGGGACTGGGGGCGTCCTGGGGAAATCCCTGATGAGGCTGCGTGTTGTCGAGATCTCCGAGGATGTGGTTGCCGGGTCATAATCTGGAATCACGAATCAGAGGGACGCCCTCTCATATGATGAAGCACGCGGAGAGGTGAAGCTGGGGTTTTCCGCACCCGAGGAACAGGTGATAGAAGCCCATTATGGGCTTATTCATCATGTGCAAGTAGGTAAAGACCTGGTTAAATAAACATCCTCAAGTGTATCCAAAGTTCTTCTGAGACCTGCTTCTCCCAGAGCCTGGAAGGAGTTTCTATGAATCGATAAATCCCGCGTTCTCTCGAGGAGGTTGACGCAGGCCAGTCTGCAGCGGGCGTGAAAGAGATTTCCCCAACAGGACGAGGAAATCTGAATTCTCTAAGATGTTAAACATTGCAGAGGGACTTTGGTTATCCTGGTTGGTGTCTGAGCTGGGGAGACGTGGGAGGTGTCTAAATATGTGCCCTTTCTTCCAGAGTGAAGATCCCGGTGACGGGAGGGGTGGGGGGAGGCAGGGAGACACAGAAAGAGAGAGAGATGTTCAGGTTCATCTCACATTGGAAACCAATAAATAACCAGGAGGAAAATGTCTTTCAGAAAAAGAATATGAAAACCACAAAAAAAGATGAATCTGGGAGGATGCAGCCACCGCAGGAACAGAGTCAGCTTCCAGAACCTTCTGCAACCAGTACCCAGTCACCTGGGAACTCCCTCCAGGCTCCTCAGCAGCCTCCAGCAACCCCATGCAGCAGTGGCTCCACCAAGGTACGGTCTTCCTCCTCCCCATACCTGAACCTCTCCACCACATGCCGCAGGCGTCACCCTGACCTGGAGCGGCTCCTCAGAAGGCCCATGTACAGGTGTCTGACCATCAGGTCTGTGGCTCGTTCGGTGGGCAGGAAAGCTTGGCTCTGACCTGTCACTGTGTCCCCCGAGGATTTTCTCCAGGGTGCGGCTTCAAACCAGACACAGACCAGGATTACCCTTGACACCTGCTGCTCTGTCTCTCCGGAAGCAAAGAGCTCAGAACAGCCTGTTCTGGGGCCCCTGGGAGGCTCAGGGGGTTAAGCATCGGCCTGTAGCTCAGGGCATGGTCTCAGGGTCCTGGGATCAAATCCCACAAGGGGCTGCCTGCTGAGCAGGGAGTCTGCTTCTCCCTCTCCCTCTGCCCTTCCTTCTGCTCATGCTCTCTCTCTCTCTCCTTCTCATATAAATAAATTAAATCTTCAAAAAAAAAAAAAGGAAAGAAAAGAACATCCTTCTTCATGAGCAGGACAGGGAGACGAGGGAAATAATCTCCCGGGAAAATAATCAGTGATTACGGTTAAATAGTATCCCCGAAGCTCTTGGGGGAACCTGCTTCTCTTAGAGCCTGGGATTGATTTTCTATGATCAATAAACCCCAATATTCGCCTGAGGAACTTACGCGGTCCAGTGCGTAGCAGTGGTGAACAGAATTCACAACCCATCAAATTCGAATCACCTGAGTTGTTAGAATTTGCAGAGTGATGATTGTGATCCCGGTAGGGTGTGAGGTGGGGAGGTGTTGGTGGTCGCTGCCTACGGGGATTACTGCAGTGTGCACATCGGGGTGTGTGCGTGTGCGAGAGAGACAGGATGGAGAGAGAGGCTGCGGTCCACGCGACGTGGAAAACCACTAACCAGGAAACTAAATCATTGCTTCAGAACGGCAGAGGCGCCGATGAGCTGAAGGACGCTTTCAAGAGGATGAACATATCCTTGGAGCCCGCGCAGCCGCCCAGGCCGCCCCAGAGCAGCGGGTGCACAGCCCAGCCCTGCGTCCCCAGCTCACACCCGCCCGCGGCAGCTCCCGCCAGCCTCGCCTCGGTCAAGGTAGCGCACACCTCTCCCACCCGCCGCCCTCCGCGGAAATTACAGGGTTCATCAGAATCCTGAAAAAGCTTGTAATCCTGCCAGCGACCGTCTCTAACTCTTCTCTGATTAAGTCACTCACTCACCAAGCAGGCATCTAGAGAGCCTCCTGGAGTCTCAGTCATTTTCTTTTCTTTCTTTTTTTTTTTTTAAACAGTTTTTTTTTAATTTTTTTTTATTTATTTATGATAGTCACACAGAGAGAGAGAGAGAGAGGCAGAGACATAGGCAGAGGGAGAAGCAGGCTCCATGCACCGGGAGCCTGATGTGGGATTCGATCCCGGGTCTCCAGGATCGCGCCCTGGGCCAGAGGCAGGCGCCAAACCACTGCGCCACCCAGGGATCCCCTCAGTCGTTTTCTATTAGGGGGTGTGCATGCCGGAGGTGACCTCTGACCTCCAGGGGACGATTACCTTGCCTTGTCCACGATTAGAGCATGTGGGGACGTAGCCGGATGGGAAGTGATGGGTGACAAGCGGGGTCAGCTCCTACGGCCCATTTCGGTTCCACTCCATTCTGCTTATTTACCTCGGTGTATTGTCCGCACCTGTACTCCAAGCAGTATCTCGGGTATTGTCAGCTCCTGTGCTCCAAGCCACATCAGGTGTATTGTCAGCTCCTGTGCTCAGAGCCACATCAGGTGTACTGTCAGCTCCTGTGCTCCAAGCCACATCAGGTGTACTGTCAGCTCCTGTGCTCCGAGCCACATCAGGTGTGTACAGTCAGCACCTGTGCTCCGAGCCACATCAGGTGTACTGTCAGCTCCTGTGCTCAGAGCCACATCAGGTGTACAGCTCCTGTGCTCCGAGCCACATCAGGTGTACTGTCAGCTCCTGTGCTCCAAGCCACATCAGGAGTACTGTCAGCACCTGTGCTCAGAGCCACATCAGGTGTACAGCTCCTGTGCTCCGAGCCACATCAGGTGTACTGTCAGCTCCTGTGCTCCAAGCCACATCAGGAGTACTGTCAGCACCTGTGCTCCAAGCCACATCAGGTGTATTGTCAGCACCTGTGCTCCGAGCCACATCAGGTGTACTGTCAGCTCCTGTGCTCAGAGCCACATCAGGTGTACTGTCAGCACCTGTGCTCCGAGCCACATCAGGTGTACTGTCAGCTCCTGTGCTCCGAGCCACATCAGGTGTACTGTCTGCACCTGTGCTCCGAGCCACATCAGGTGTACTGTCAGCTCCTGTGCTCAGAGCCACATCAGGTGTACTGTCAGCACCTGTGCTCCGAGCCACATCAGGTGTACTGTCAGCTCCTGTGCTCCGAGCCACATCAGGTGTACTGTCTGCACCTGTGCTCCGAGCCACATCAGGTGTACTGTCAGCTCCTGTGCTCAGAGCCACATCAGGTGTACTGTCTGCACCTGTGCTCCGAGCCACATCAGGTGTACTGTCAGCTCCTGTGCTCCGAGCCACATCAGGTGTACTGTCTGCACCTGTGCTCCGAGCCACATCAGGTGTACTGTCAGCTCCTGTGCTCCAAGCCACATTCTGCGTATTGTCAGCACCTTGCTCCGAGCCACATCAGGTGTTTTGTCAGTATCTGCTCCTAAGCAGATGAGGTATTTTAATACTTCCTTTGATAAGAAGACTTCTCATCTTATTTAGGCTGAAGTGTTTTCTACTATGTCGTGCCAGACTGAATGTATTCCTTGGTGATCCTCACTGACATTGCCTTTCAGAGTAGGTCAGATCTTCCCTTTGTTCACTTTCACGGTTCCCTTTATTTTCCTCTGTATCACCTTTTATCACAAGTGTAAAAAAAAAAATCAATGTCTTTCTTCCTCCTTAGACAATAAGCTTAGGTTATGGGTATTGTTTTCCATGGGAAGCCAGACAGCGGTGGGAAAGTGAGTGGACACCTGTGTGCACCGACTGCCCTCCCACCCAGCCCTTGCTTCTGCCCTGCGTGACCCCTGTGGTTACCCACTACGAAGCCTACATCTGAGGAGAATGGACAGGGAAGAATTGTAAGACAGCCTAAAGGCTAGGAGGGATCAACATTTAAATCATTATTCTCACTCAAACCCCAAACTACCCACTGTGACCAGCCGGGGCCGGTATTCCTACATACAGTTTTTCTCAATGAATTTTGTGTTTATTGTCGTTAGTGTGAGGACTCTATTTTCTCCCCTCGAGTCTCTCGTGGTTATTTGGTGTATGGGACTAGCTGCCCATACCTGTGTCTATCTTGAGACTAGTGGCCATAGCTGTGACCTTATCTGGTCATTGGAACCTCAGCCCCCGTCTCTCTGCCATGACAAGGACCTAGATGCCCATCTCAAGCCAACTCTACTTCTGCCTTGCAGACTGGCTTGGCAGGGATACTTTCTAAGTCCCCCTCGGCCTATACAGGTGACAGGGTCATTGCTAATCCCATGAGAATCCTTCTGCTGCCCTGCATACTTCTTGAAGCACAACCACCCCAGGGAGGCTCATCTGCTCCCTCAGCCACTCATTTCTCCTCCAGGGTCCATCCACCTGCACGGGGAGCCTACAAAAAAGTGTCTGACCAAACAGTCAGTGGTTCATTAGGTGAGCGGGAAAGCCTTGCACTGATGCATCATGGGGTCTCCCAACAATTTTCTCTAGGGCGTGTGTTCTGTTTGCATTTTTGGGATTCAAATCCAGAAACATCACTATCACCTTTGATTTCTGCTGTTATGTGTCCATGGAGCAAGCAGCACAGAAGGGCACGATTCATAGACAAGGTAGGAAGTGAAGGATATACTCAAGAGAAAATGACCTGCTTATGCTTTCAAAACTGATCCAGACCAAGACTATATTTTCATCATCCTTGTCCTCTTCTTGTGATGCCCATTTATGAAAACTGAGTTTTAAAAGGTAATAGCTCAAGATCGCCCTGTCAATGAGATTGCTAAGTATATGTGGATGACCTGAATGGAGAGACTTCTTTTATAAGGTGAGTCGATAACAGAGCTTCCAACAGGGTCATCATAAAGCCTGAAATACTGCTTATCGGAGCAGAGTACAAACTTTTGAAAAAACATAGGAAAACAATGATGAAGACATTTCTGTGCACTGGGCATTTACTTAGCGCTTAGTTCAAATCCAGGCTTTGAAATCTAAGGTTTGAACATTTAGTTGTCATATGTTGAATCTAGACTTGAAATGCAGATGTTAAAATGTCTTCAATTCATTTTTTTACATTTAGGAAGACAGCGTTAGGTTTGGGGTTGTTTCTGTAAGCCAGGTGCCCAAGGTGGCCAGAGACTGTTGTCACCAAGAAGCTGCCCTACAGAAGCAGCTCTGTCACATTCCTATCAACATCTGATACTTTAAAAATTAAATTACTGAATGCCAGAAGTGGTGGAAACTGTGACTAATTAACTAATGGGATGACTATTTAATAGCTGTCATTAAACGATGAAAGGCAGTAAAGGCCCATGATTACAGCAAAATTCCCCAATCTTACTGAGGAAACGTTCAGCCAGTAGTCATGGTGGGTGGACTATTCAATACGGTGAATAGAGCTCAGAATGCTGAAAGTTTCAAATTGCCTGCCTCGCTGTAAAGATAGCAGAACCCATGGCTGAGGAATCATGCATTGAGAGAACCTCTCCGTCAGGGTCAGGGTTAGAGCTCCCGATGCTTGGAGGGCTGGATCTCCTAAGTGCTGAAGATTGGGTGCTAGAAACTGATGAACAGGATGAGACAGGCTGAGTTCATCAGTGCCCATAAGTGTGGCCAACCTCGCGTGAGACATGCTATCCTTACTGCAGAAAGATAGCTCCAAGGGTTAGTTAGGCCTCATCGAGGGATTTGGACCAGTTCTGCAGGAAAAGTAGAGCCACCGTATTCTATCTCAGACCAATGAAATTTCAGTCACCTGAGCTTTTCAGGTTTGCAGAGTGAGGTAATTGATCCCAGCTGAGATGAGAGGAAGGTAAGGGTAGGATGTTTGTGTATTCACTCCTATTCCCCTTGCAATAGGATCTAATTGGTAGAGTTAAGGTCCCGTTTTACAAAGTAAGAATGAAATGAAAGTGTATTGTATTTCATCTAATTTCAAAAACGACTACACACACACACACACAAAACACAAACACACAGGGATCCCTGGGTGGCGCAGCGGTTTAGCGCCTGCCTTTGGCCCAGGGCGCAATCCTGGAGACCCGGGATCGAATCCCACGTCGGGCTCCCGGTGCATGGAGCCTGCTTCTCCCTCTCCCTGTGTCTCTGCCTCTCTCTCTCTCTCTGTGACTATCATAAATAAATAAAAATTACAAAAAAAATTTAAAACACAAACACACAAAACCTATTTTTCTACAGGGAAGGGTTGACATAACCACCAAAATTGATTACACCGTAAGGATGTAGCCATCCCAGGAACAGAGTCAGTCCCTAATACCTTCAGCAACCAGCACAGGCACAAATGCAAGCCCTCCCTGCATTCCTGCCAACACCCCCATCCAGCAGTTCCTTAATCAAGGTACGAGGTTCCTGTTTCCAGTATTTCCCTTCCCTGTGAGGTCATGGCAAGGACCAACAGAACCCTGGAAGGGCAACCCCCAACTACATACAATTATTTCTTTATTTAAATTACTTGCTTATTTACAAAGTGTGTATTTTAAAAGCCTACCTGAATTCAAATTCCAACTCTTATTATGTCCCCCTCTGCATTAAAATCACCTATGAGCCAGTGGACAGCTGATCATCCTTATTCCACATGGAATATAATTGGTCATTTGTTTGTTTGATTTTATTTTTGTGTTTCCCTCAATATACAGCAACAGAGATCACTTGTGGTGGAAGAGGGCATGGAAATACAGAGCCTACCAAAGCACTACCACCAGTTCTTCCTCTCTCGTTTTTTATTACCTAAATAATATTACCTTAGAAAATTTAGGAAATGGAGACACACAGACAAAAATAAGTAAATTTTTTGCTATCTGATCTCTTTTACATCAAACATCACATTTTGAAAGAGTCTTTCGGATTTTTACCCTTTATTATGTATGCACAAAGAATATCATTTTGTCACATGACATATATTTTTCTATAATCCAGTTTGAGGTTTTTATTTTCACTTCATATGCTTTAAAGTGCTATTTAAGTCAACCAATGTAGAATTAAATTCCTGTTTTAATGTATAAGAAAAATACTCAGTTATTCCATAAATTAGAAAAATAATTCTGTATATTTTGGCTTTAGATTATTTCCAGTATTCCTCAAGCCTGGAATGAGCATAAGAAAAATATGCCCATCAAATATGCTTCTATGAGCCTCAGAGTAGATCCATAATAATTTTCTAGGTGAGATCACAAGAAGCATTGCTAGCCTGTGAGACAGCCAGCTGTGGCCTCATACTCAGCCCTGGCACTCCCAGAGCCCACCTTTGCCCTCACCTTCATACTTTCTTTTGCAGATCAATACTTTCTTCCAATTCCAAATACTCTCCTGAAACTCCAACGTGGTTCAGGCCCCTGGGGAGACGAGATGTCAGACCCCTGATTCTTGGCGAGTTCTCCGCTGGCATGCTTTCCCTAAGGGTCCTACCATTATTCCAACAGAGAAGTGTGGAAGAGGAGGAAATTATTCTCCTTCTTTACCCTTCTAAATACCTGGCTGAGACCCCTGTAATAAGAGACATATTAACAAAAGAAAAACAAGCAGAAGTCTGTTATAACATGTCTACCTCATGTACACCTGGGAGAAACCAGGGAAAACTTAGTAGCTCCCTGCGGTGGCCTGAACCACCATTTGAAATACCATCTTCAGCCGAAGACAAGAGAAAGGGAGGTGTGGAGGCCACTTATGAAGATTACCAGGAAAAACAGAATAAACAACGGTGTTTCTTATGCAGATTTCAGGCAGGCCATCCTTCATCATGAGATTCTGTTGTGATTTAGGGTCCCCTTCTCTTCCCGGTAGAGAGAGAGAGAGACACTGTTACAAATGCATGTTCCTTACACAAGTGCAATTTCTGTTCTCTTTGTAGAGTGTTTCCTATATTTGCTGTTTTTTCAAAATAATAAGCTCAAAATAATTTTATACTAAGGGAGCATACCTTCAGATGGCTCATTCTGCTACTCTTCAAGAGCCCTGAGCCAGGACCTTTCGGAATTAGGGAAGTTCATGAGATTCTCCGGTGCTTATTTAATCTCTTTTTAGCACAGCACTTCTTGAAAAGAGCTCGCAGTTTCCGTCTTTCAATAGTGACATCTACTGGGATTGGTTCCAGATGAAAGCAGTGGTTACTGATTAGAGCCGTTCCCACTGTCAGTGCTGTTAGGGGGATTTATTTTCTTCCCTGTTTATAACTTACTTTGCTCACTAAAATGAATTGATTGGTAAATTAAGATGATATATTCATCCTCATTTCCACTGGGAATTCCTTCATGACAACATGGCTGTTGCCCACTTCCTCGCTCAACAGGACTCTCCTAGGTTTAGAAATACTTTTTATCTTGGGTTGATCACTTAAAGAAAACATATTCTTCCCAAACTCTTAAAACAATGGAGAAATAGAATTATGTCAAACTCTCCTCTATGTCTTTCACGGGCTACATTACACCAGGCCAGCCATTTCTACCTAGCTCACTTTTTTCCCAAATCCATCCCATCAGGTATTTCTGGAGGCTCAACATTGAACCCAAAAGCTCACACTAGAAAGTGACGGTTTATTCTCTTTCTTAACATGCTTCTTTTTGGTGTGTACTTCCAAGTAGAAACCAAGATTGAAGGCTATACCTAGAGAAGCTGCCAGAGAAGAGGGTTTCCAGAAGGGCCCCAAGAAAGTGATGGTGCTGAAAGCAACAGAGCCGTTTGTATATGATACCGTGGAGCCGGGGAAAAAGATGTTCCATGCCACTGTAGCTACTGAGAGCCAATTCTTCCAAGTGAAGGTTTTCCAGGTCAACCTGAAGGAAAAGTTCGTCTCAAAGAACATCATCACCATATCAGATTATGTTGGTCGCAATGGGTTTCTGGAGGTGTACAATGCCTCTTCTGTGTCTGATGTCAGCGCTGACCAAAAGATGGAGGTCTCAAGCGGACTGATCCAAAAGGCAAATGCAACTCCAAAAATCAGTGATCTTTACTTGCAAAAGCCAGGAACGTTTGTGAATGGGATATATGAGGTGCACAAGGTAAGCCCACACCATTGTGTTGTACTATTTCTTCTGCAACCCCAGAATGTGAAGTCTGAACTTGCCAAGTAAAGTTTGGTTCACTTCTGAAACACAGGAACTCGAGGTACCAGTGACCAGGGTAGTTGGGTAGAAGCGTCCCACCTCAGGGTACGGGACAGGAGAGCTCTTCATATTCTGCTTCCCGAGGTAATGCCATGCAAGTTCTGCAGAAAGAGTTTCTCAGAATCCTTGGCATTTTTCAGATTTAATCATCTATTCACAGGCACCCTGGTCCAGAGCAGTGCAGACTTTCTATTTGTGTCCGTATCTTCATGATTTTGTTTGAGCTCTGTCCCATCCATTTCGGTGACAGCTTAACTGTAAATAAAAAACTGTCCTCCCAAACTTGGATGCTAGCGGTGACGACCAGAGGAAGAAATCAATAGACCCTGCCCTAAAACGCAGCTGTTTCCAACAGTTAGCTAAGATTCTGATCCTCTGAATCCCAAAGTGCTCCTCTCTTCACACTCATTCCTTGAAATATTGTCGGGCATCGACATTAGCATTATCTAACAGGAAATATAAATATTGAAAAGACTAGAGAAATCAGGTTGTTTCCTACACAATGTATGGGGTGTCTGGGTTGGTTTGTTAAGTCTCCAAATCTTGATTTTGGCTCAAGTCATGATCCCAGGGTTGTGAGATTGAGCCCCACATTGGGCTCCATGCTGGGTGGGAAGCCTGCTTAAGATTCTCTCTCCTCCATCTGTTGCCCCACACATATTCTCTCTCCCTCTCTCAAAACAAAACAAAAGTTAAAAATACTCAATTTATTAATATGGGCAATGAAATGTAGAATTTTGGTGAATTCTTAGAACTGGTGTAGATATTTCTGTCCCAGCACATCATGGAAGTACTAGGCTGAGCCAACCCTACTTTCCATGACGAGTTTTGTTCCATACTCCATTTAACATGTCTTCTAGGGTGGCTCTTTCCTTCGACCCCTGTTGTTTCCTGTGCCCCCTGTGTAAGTGGCTATGCACACAGGTGCATATGCAGAATTGGTGAGTAGAGTGAGTGAGAGGATACCTAGAGCAATGTGACTGGATAATCTAGATTAAGGATTCAGGCAGACTGAGAGTGAATAGAGAATAGAAAAAAAAACGGAAAATTATAGACTGAAATGATTCTCTACTTAATGAGAATTAATGACAATCGCCAGACCCATAAGGAGAATTCCCTGAACAAATACTTTAACCTATTTGCTGCCCCTCATTCTGGACCTCTAGATCATGTTAACCTGTCAGAGACAACAGTTTACACTCACACCCTGTGTTTCTAATTGATGTGGAAACCTGATCCAGTTCTCAGGAGAATGGTTTTGACTTTCTTTTGCAGAAAAACGTGTTAAATGAACAAATCATTTCGTATGAGATACAAGATAATACAGGGAAGATGGAGGTCTGGGTGTTTGGACGACTGACCAAAGTCGACTGTGAGGAAGGCGATAAACTCAGACTTACCTGCTTTGAACTAAGTGACAATGTGAAGAAGCTGAGATCTGTAATTCACAGTTTCATGAAGGTGGGAACTTCTGGGGAATATCATTCTTCCAACAAAGAAGACTTTAAGAAAACTAGACTGACTGTCCTTTCCTGTCATTCTTTCCTTTTTCAGAGAAGGGGATGTGTAATCTTATTGAGGCCTTCAAAGTATATAATGTCTAGCTAAATATTATAGAGTTGATTGAATGTATCAGAGTAGGGAGATTATTTAGTAAATTTGAGCTTCATTAAGGCAGGCTTGTTTCAAATCCTGGCTCTGTGATTTTCTAACTGGTGGTGAACTTAAACACCAGGAACCTCAGGTTCTTCATCTATAATAGGCAGGGAATGTCAACTATCCCAGAGGCTGTTAAACAGAGTTCATGCCAGACCTAAAGGATCCACGGTGCCACTGAATATCTCAAAACACAAAGGGACCAGTTTTTATTTTAGTGTTATATACAGACTGGTCTACACAGCGGAAGGGGCTGGTCGTACAGGACGAAGTCCATGCTCTTTGTCACACACATCCATGCAGGATTGTGGGAAGACTATCAAAGGCTAGAATGACACAGATCAATACAAAGGTTGACACATCCAGACGCACGGCAGTGCCCACACTCTGAAGTCTCTCCACTTCTAGGGCCCTCAAACCTTCCAGCCTTTCCCTCGCAGGCTCAGACCCCCCTCCCACGTGTTTTCCCAGTGAGAACCTTCCCCTCAGCTCTTGCCATTGAGTACATCTGCTCCTTCTCCCGCCCTGTCCACAGGTACTCCTGCTGTATGCGAGTGATTACCTCATTTCAGGGTCTCAACCAAGGTGGGAAGGGGGGTGACTCAAAGGATGGGAATTCATTGAAGTGGATGGATGAGAGTGACAGCCTTACAGGAAGGAAGAGCAAAGGGGATGCAGCCAGTGGCGGGGAGATAGAGTCAGTGCAGAGAGAAAGGTAGAATCAGCTGCGTCTCAACTGTCCTGTCTTTATTTCTCTCTTCTTCAAGGTCATCAAGTCCAGGAAGAACAAGAAACAACCACTCAATCCTGATTCACATATGGAAACCTCACCATGATGTCCTTCTAAGAACCTGGATGCCATCAACAATGATCTCTATGGAGATAAAATCTAAGTACAGAGGAAAAAAATATATATATATGTATGAGAGAAATTCAGCGATAGATATACCATCTATCAATTCTAAGGAATAGAGTGGTCATGGGTAGCTTTTATTTTCTTTTTTATACTTTCCTGTGCTATCCTAATACCATATTTTGCATGTATCATTTTCATAATTTGGAAAAAAATTAATAAACATTTTTTCCTAAAAGAGTGCTATAACAGGAGTCTAATTCATTGGTGTGTTGCTTAAAAGCGAACCATTTGTGGGCTGCAGATCAGGGTCGGGTACACAGGCTCCAAAGCAATATGTGCACTTAGACTTTGGGGGTGATCCTGACAAGGTGAGCCTGGCGTCAAGAATAGGCATGTTGAACAGACTGTGCCCCGCTCCGAGAAACCCAGCTGAGGGCACAGGTCAACACGGAAATCCTCTGTGCTTCTGTTGCCAAGGCCTGTGTGCAAGAGAAGGATTGCTTTTGCTCAAAACAACGGGTATGTATTCAGAATTGGTGTCCCTGAGGGGGCGTCACGGCCAGTGGGCTGCCGAACGAGGCGCCTTTTGGGGATTTGCAGGAAGACGCTTCTGTGTTGCACGTGATTGCAGCTCTTGTGCCGTGGAGTCACTGGCTCCATTCCTTTACTCAAGCAGCGATAGCTCAGTAGCTGTGCAACCCGATTTGCTGGTTCTCGTGCTGCACGAAGGTGGAAAGCAGTTTCATCACCTGCAATGAAAAAAGTGAAGTTTGGAGAGATTGAGGGAAGTTGTTAAGATCGTAACATCACTCTGCTGGTTCGGGAACGGATTTCATGCTGAGATGATGAAAAGATGTCACTGACCGCCTAATCTTCCTCCAACTCAAACTTGATTTATGGACCCTCAGGATTAAGATGCCTTCACACAGAATGATGTTTGTATTCTGAGCTACATGCTCATAGTCGTCGTGTTCTGACTCTTATTACTTCATATTCTTGTCACTTTATACGAACTTTCTGTAATTGACTGTTCTATAGTATGTAGATAATGGTGACTAAGAGTTAAAGAATGAGCTTCCAGTGACCTGCCCAGTCCCCGTCTTGACTTTCCTTACCGTCATGCCAATTCCCTCTTGAAAGTTGTTACTTCCAGGATCCCTGGGTGGCGCAGCGGTTTGGCGCCTGCCTTTGGCCCAGGGCGCGATCCTGGAGACCTGGGATCGAATCCCACATCGGGCTTCCGGTACATGGAGCCTGCTTCTCCCTCTGCCTGTGTCTCTGCCTCTCTCTCTCTCTCTGTGACTATCATAAATAAATAAAAATTTAAAAAAAAAAAAAGAAACTTGTTACTTCCAAGCACTTGGAACTTGTTACTTCCTTGTGTCTCTAAGGGAGATGAACAAGAAATGACCCTCAACCCAAAAGAATTTATTTGGGTCTTTGATTTTGTTTTCACCTAAATAGCTTTATCCTCAACACCATGGACCTGGTCTATCATCTATTTTTGCACTTTGCACCCTTTGGAGCTCCTCCTTGACCTCAGCATGAAGCAGGTGAGAAGCTGGAACTTCTTCTAGATTTGAAGTGGGATCCAAGAGAAGTTCACAACTCAGAGATGTATATCTGCCAGCACAAACACCTTATTCCTTTAGTTGTACCAAGTGGTTTTAAGGTATGCAAGTGGCAGAGAAATATCTCCAAGGATCTCAAAAGTATCACGGCATTGCCCTGATTAGAAGATGCACATCCAAATGGAATGCTTCATTTCTTTTATTTGTAAAAATAGAGTTAATAATGGTGAAAACATAATAGTTGTATCTGTGGTGACCATTAAACAAGGCACCTATATAAAGTGCTTAGCAATTAGCTACCCTGTAAAAATTAGTAAAGAAAGCTGTTATACTGCTGTTCGTAGCTTGCATTTTTATCTGTTATAAATCTTTATGTGTCAGAACATTATCACAAATTGTGGTCATATTCGATAACGGATTCGTCATGACTCATTTAACTCATTGTTGGTTACTTCAATCATTTTGAATCCTTCTTAATTTAAAGCAATATTTATGTGACGCCGATAAGCCAACATATTTCCATGTTAAATAGGTATAAATGGAGTTTTTGTAATGCACCTCCAAACTGAATGCCTCATTTTTTTTCATTTCTAAAAAGAGCTAAAATAGAGCTTATATTCTAAAAATAGAATATGAATATATTTGTTAATAATATTGCCAAACTGATGTCCCCATTAATACTTCTGAGAACATTATTCTTAATGATATCATTATCACATTCATAAACTGCATGTTATTAATTTAATGTATAAGAAATACATATTTTTTAAAAATCTTTGATCCATGGGAGCCTGGCTGGCTTAGTTGGTAGAGCATGTAACTTTTTTATCTCAAGGCTGTGAGTTCAAGCCCCACGTTGTGCATAGAGATTATTAAAATAATAATAACAGCTTTCTTTACTAATAGTAAAATCCTTGATCCGGTCTTTGTGAATCTTTTAAAAAATAGATTCATCTTATTTATTATAAAAGCAATGGGTGCTTATTCCAGAGAAATCAAAAAACACAATCAAAAGAGTATTAGAAACATCTACAATTTTATCTTCCTGTGTGGTACATATTTTCTTTTCACTTTTTAAATTAAGGTATAATGTGCATGCAGTAAAATCCACTGTTATTTGTGCAAAGTTCTTTGAGGGTTTTTTTAAGATTTTATTTATTTATTATTTATTTATTTATTTATTTATTTATTTAGAGAGTGTGCACGAGCAGGGGGAAGGGTAAAGGGAGAGAGAAAGAATACGAAGCCCACTCCACACTGAGTGAGAAGCCCCATGCAGGGCTCAATCCCATGATCCTGAGATCATGACCTGAGCTAAAATCAAGAGTCAGATGTTTAACCTACTGAGCTACCCAGGCACTCAAAGTTCTCTGAGTTTTTACAAGTGCATGCAGTTGTTTACCACAAAATCAAGATCTAGAACAGTTCTACTGTAGCCAAGATTTCCTTCATGCTACTTTATTATCAACTCCCCCTCCCCCAGTTCCAGGCTCCTGACAACCACGGACATAGCTTCTTTAAAAAGAAAAAAGTTAAATTTATTATTAAAGTATAATCAACATATAATGTTATATTCGTTGTAGGCGTACAACATATTGCTAGCAATTCCGAACATCATTCAATACCCATCATAAGTGTAGTCCACCTCTGTCTTCACACAACATGATTATATTATCCACTATCCTCCCTATGCTGTACTTTTCATTTCCATGACTTATTTTATTTTTTTTATTTATTTACGATAGTCATACAGAGAGAGAGAGAGAGGCAGAGACACAGGCAGAGGGAGAAGCAGGCTCCATGCACCGGGAGCCCGACGTGGGATTCGATCCCGGGTCTCCAGGATCGCGCCCTGGGCCAAAGGCAGGCGCCAAACCGCTGCGCCACCCAGGGATCCCCCATGACTTATTTTATACTTTCGCCTTCTCCAGAATTTCACAAAGTGGAGTGAAAAATGTATATATGGGGCACCTGAGTGGCTCAGTCAGTGAAACGTCGGACTCTTGTTTTCAGCTCAGGTCATGATCTCAGCCTCAGCTCAGGTCATGATCTCAAGATCCTGCTGGGCATGGATCCTGCTTAGGATGCTTTCCCTCCCGCTCCCTCTGCACCCGCCCTGCTGCCTGTGAGCACTCTCTCTCTCTCTCTAAAATAAAATAAAATAAAATAAAATAAAATAAAATAAAATAAGTGTATATGGAATTCTGAGTCTGGCTTCTTTCACATAGTATGATGCATTTATGATTCATCCATGTACTTGTGTATCTGCAGTTTATTCTTTTTTTGTTGTATGGAATTCAATAGTGTGAGTCTACCAAAGTTTTCTTATCCATTCCCCAGGTGAGGAATGATTGACTTGTGTACATTTTTGCCTAATTACACATAAAATTTCTATAAATATCCACATGCAGATGTTTGTGTGGACTCAGGTTATCATTTCACGTGGTAAACCTTGGAGCAAGATGCTGGTTTATATAAGTGTATATTTAAATTTACAAGAAATTTCCAAACTGTAACATTGTTTGTTCCCGTAAGCAGGGTGTGAACGCTTCGTTGGCTCTACATCCTCCATGGGCTCAGACTTGTACGTACGTGTTAACTTTTACGAAAGCCTGCGGAACTCTTTCCTGCATGGTTGTGTCATCTGGAACCCACCGTTCCCTAGGGTTCTGGCTCCTTCACAACCTCATCGGCACTTGGCGTGGCCAGTCTTTTTCAATTTCAGCCCATCCAGTTGGTGTATGATGACATCTCGCAGCAGCTTTAATGTGAATTTCCCTAAAGAGGAATTATTTTGAGCAGCTTGCTATGTGCTCATTTTCCACCTGTGTATCTTTTTTTCTTTCTTTATAAAAATTCAGTTGTTCTTAAGGAGTTCTTAAAGAATTTTAAGAGTTCTTTACAAATTTGGGGAATAGAATCGTTAGCAGCTATGTGGCTATCAAATATTAAGTCTCAAATTATGATATACATTTCTATGCCTTAAAGGTATCTTTCCAAGAGAATCTTGTTATGTTGATAAAGTTAAATTATCAAAAAATGTATCCTGGGTGCTTTTGGTGTTATATCCAGGAAATCTTTGTTTAAACCAACATCACATATTTTCTCTTGTGCTTTCTTCTAGTTTTATAGTTTTAGGTTCTGCATTTGAGTCAATGATCCATTTGGGTTAATTTTTATGTAGAGAGCAAGGTATGGGCCAGGTTCATTTTTTAAAAAATATGAATATTCCATTGTTCTGGTACTATTTGTTGAAAAAAGGTCCTTTCTCCCTTGAATTCTGGTTGTACTTTTGTAGACAATCAACAGATTCTATGTGTGGGGGCCTCTTTCTGAATTGTCATTTCCATTGAGTCTATATGCCTATCTTTTCTCCAATATGACAGGCTGTCTTATTATTTCTCTTTTAAAAATATTTCTTAGTCCTTGCCTTAGAGCTTACAACACATGTCTTCAATCAGAAGTATCTTCCAATATCATCGTGCTACCTGGCATGTTGTGTAAGGACCTTCCAGGAGCATACTTCTAATTCCTCCCTCTTGTGTTTTGTGTTATTGTTGCCAAATATTTTATTTTTGTTTATTGTATAAACACATAACAGTTTGCTAGTATATTTGCTTCAGACAAGGAATTGACAAACGATGGCCCACAGGCTTAGTCCAGCCTGTTGACTGTTTCTGTCTGGATGCCACCTGTTTGTGTACAGTCCACAAGCAAAGAATGGTCTTTACGTGTTTTTGATGTTGGAGGTGGGAAACCAAAAGAATATTGTGTGATGCATGAAAATTATAAAAATATTCAAGTTTCAACATCCATAATATAGTATTACGGGAACATAAGCATGCTCATTCATTCACAAATTGT